GATTTTAAAAAAGAAAAAAAAAAAAAATTGTCGGCCGCCATCTTGAAAAATAGCCCGAATGCCAGGGAAAATGTACGGAGCGGCCATTTTGAAAGAAAAAAAAAGAAAAAAAAGCGCCTCCTCCTTCCCATTTTTCAAAAAACAGGACGCTATAAGCATGTTTTTTTAAAAATTTGGTCTTATATTAAATTTTAAAAAACAATCCAACTGTACCGGTAGTTATTCTTTAAGCCACTGGAACTGCGTAGAGTTCCGTAGTGTGGGGTACCGACTACGCAGAAATTAGGCTGCGTATTAATGGGAAAATAGTCCCTGCGTAGGTTATGCGTAGGCTGGCGTACAGGTTTGCTTATGGTTGCTTACTGTGTGGAAAGCTTTTACTGCTTAGTCGATCTGGCGTGGGGTAGCGTATTGTTGCGTAAAAAGGCGGACTTTCTGCGTAAAAAGGCGTAATTTCTGCGTCAAGTTTCTACGCCGAAAGTACGCAAAAAAAATTAAACAGGTTGAATTGTTTTCGTTCACCTTGCGTACCCCTTTCCGTCCCTCAGCATATAGTAACGTAGGCCAGCGTAGTTGGTACGCAACACTACGCAACTCTACGTATTGACCCCACGCCAATTAGTGACCCGCTAGTGTCACAAATAAAGTATTAAAAATATGCTCATCTGACCCTAATAAAACGCCTAAAACCCCCGAGCTTTCGGGGGTTTATGGCCCCTTGAAACCCGTGGACCCCATGCCTATATTATATATACACTTAACTCGCTGCGATCTGATCTCTCCCCCCCCCCCCCCAACTTTGAAGAACATAACCCCCAAGCTTTTGGGGGTTTATGGCCCCTTGAAACCCGTGGACCCCACGCCTATATTATTTATACACGCAACTCAGGACCCGTGGAAATCCGCGGGATTCTAGAGGGGGGCGCAGGCAAAAAATTAAGTTTTTCATTTCGGGGGCTCCATTTCAAATTTTTGGGAAATTTTCGGGGGCTACTTTTTCAACTTTTGTGGGCTCTTTTTTCTGGGGCTACTTTTTCATTAATTCATAAAAGGATAGGCCTACACTTTGTTGAGATTTGTTTAGTAGGCTAAGGTTTCAGGCTTCCTACTTCATAATTGCCTATTTAAAAAAACAAAACATTTTTCTAGTTCAATATAACTAAGTTTTCATGCATTGATTTGATGCAAGAACTGTAACATAATAGACCCTAGATTGTGATTATTTCTGACCATGAATTTCGATAATCATTTTTCAAAATAAAATTTTCACAAGAAAATCAGACAGTCGTTTAAAAACGTAGACATTAGTAATACTTCTAAGCTAAGGTTTCGTAAATCTATTCACGAAACTATATTGAAATCGCGGCAATAATGATGCAAACCAACAGATAACAATTTCAAAGTGTCAAATCTCTTCGACTCGAATTCAACTCACACACTGCTGCATAACTGCAGCGTAACTCAGCTCATCTCACACACACTACACAGTGGCAATGCACTGTATTGTATCAGTTACGGTGATTTTGTCTGATTTTCTTTACTTTGAAGAAATTATCAAAATTACGTAAACATGGCGAGAACATCACAAAATAGGCTTTAATTTCATACCTCAATTTATGGAAACTTTATAATATTGCAGCAATCGTGAATTCGTGATGGAAATTGATAGCAGTTTCGCGATGTTTAGTGGTTCATGGTCTAGATTCAGCTTCTACCAAAACAAAATCGACCGCCAAAAAACTCGAGCTCTACGCTCCGTCTCGATCTCGCAACTGCGAAAATGTACGTGTTTTGGCGTACTTGCGTGCGACATGGTAAGCCAGGTAAGGTATGGAATATGGTTTGAGTTTTTTTACGACCGATTTTTGTGTATACAATTTTATACGGATAGTCATCGGTCGTGTGTCAATGTTGAATATCCATGAGGTATCTCTGTCGTCACGCATATCCTGCATTATGCATGTCGCGTCTGTTTTCGCCCTGGACGTCGACACGGAGGAGGACCTCGGGCGGAGTATAGCCAATTCCACAGAGTAGACTCTCCCGCGGACGATGGCACCGGGCACGGGTACCCCGAGGGAAGGGGTTCAGGAGGAGATAGCCGCACCAACTTCGGTCGGCGATCTCATTAAAAAACAATAGAATACAAAGGCTGGCGGAGACGTCGCGCCCCCCGCGGAGCCTTAGCGTATTATTATTATAGACTTTTGAGTTCTATTTGTTGATTTTTTGCTTTCTTTTAAATAAGGAGAAGTTCACCCTGAGTCCCTGATATTAACTTAAAGTTTGTTTTAAAAGAAGCAGAAAATGAAAGAAACTTGTCAATGATAATTTGTTCAAAATCCAATTGAAACTAAAAAAGCTATGATTTATTAAAATCAAATCGGTGTAGTACCCGTATCCCCCGAGGGGGGGGGGGCAGGGGCAGCGCCCCCAAAGTTCCTCACTGGCAGTAATTAAACTTTTTTTTTTCTTCTTGAAAACCCATGGCTGGATTCTAACCAAAATTTACAGGAATCACCTGCAGGAAAGGGAGATCTACAGTTGTTCAAATGGGATATACGGTATGCCCCCGAGGGGGCTTCGGGACAGCCTTCAATATCCACCATCCGAACAACAATGGGAAGTTATAAACACGCACACGTGGGTATCTTGAAAACTGTCAAAAATGGTCACAAAAGCTGTTTCATTTGAATCAAGAACAACTCTTGAAAAAATGAAAAATGCCTGGTTACCCTCATGTTTTATTTTATATTCTGATAAACATGGAATTGTAGATTAGATATGATTTCACACCGATGGATTCTGAATAAATATTTTAGGAATCATTTTTATTTGAAGAAGAAATATGTTTGTTTGAATGGGATACCGGTACCTGCCACTGTGGGGGACTTCGGGGCAGCACCCCTGAATACTGTTTCAATAAATCCCATGTTCCTGGTAAGGCTGCGACGAGCACACGGATGATCCATGTGCTCGTCCGTTTGACTACATGGGTACAATTTCTAGTACACGTACTATACACGGCAGCCATTTTTGTTTGTTTTTCTTTTCTTTTTTCTAAGTGTCGATTTATGCCCCTCGACCTGGCACTGTGCTGGCCGACGCTCACCCGTGCCCGGAAGAGCACCGGCACCGGCATTTTACTGTGAGTAAAAATGTTTCCCAGCTCAATCACACACTGGGTGTCGACTCACCACTCAGAAACTAGGATCAAACTAGCTGCCAATGTCCAGATTTCTGTTTGAACTCGGAGGAAAATTTGTCTGTCATCTTTAGTTTTAAAAAGAACATTGTTACTATTATTTCTGAGAAGTTCACAAGCACAAATTTTGCGCCTTCAACTGCAACTGCAACTAAAAATCGTGTGGGTTTTCGAAGACAGACCTGGAGTGCTGCCAACGATGTCGGCAAAAAATAAAAAAAAATCTGAACAGCGCCATCTCTTGGCAATCATTGGACTAAATATGACTTATCGTAGCAAGAAATTTTACGAGTGCTGCGCAGTATGGCGGCCATCCAACACAAGCTGAGAAAGACGTATTCTCTTGTTAATAGAAGCCAATTTTTCATGGAAAACCGATGTGTTGTGATGTCTTAAAAATCAATATTTAGCAACTTTTGAATAAAATCACCCACTATAAAAGGCTAGGTATTCATGGTATTAGTTTTACAACAAAACTTTTACCTGCCGTGTCTAAAAAGAAAGGGTTCTAGAGGTCTAACAATTTAAATTGCTGAGTACATGAGTACATCCGCCTGTGTGCCTGGGCGTGTACACGACTACCTCATTACACGCTTAGTTGCTTAAATGCACAGCCTTCTACCCCTTTCAAACTGGCCTGATTTTCATTGAATGCATCCGGATGCATCTGATGAAACTGCCAGTATGAATGCTACAGAGGAGAAAAAGCCGATAGAATAGCCGATGAAAAGAAGAGAAATAGGCGATTAAATTTTTGATCATGGGGCTTTGTGTCGTATGTGTATTATGCACCTATGTCTTCAAACGATGCACGCTGGACGGTGATACGAGTCATCATAATATGCACAAAAATCAGACAGACCAATCAAAAAAAGTTTTAGCAAAATTGGATAACTAATAAGAAAGTTATGAATTTTTGAAAAAGTATGTAAAACTATGGAACAATGGAAATCACTACACAAATTGCCAAGATAGTTATCAGTTTGTGACGTCATGTCCTCACTATTTATCCATTGCTTTATATAGTTTAATCCCATTAATTTCCCTTTTTATTCCCCAAAACTTGATTTCCCCATGCCTTTGCCCAGGTTATATGATTTGTATCATTTTGCGTGCATGACATTTGACAAAATATTTTATGAACTTTGAAGAATTTATAATATTTTCTGAATATTGTATATTCATAATAATTGATTTTTATATAAATATTTTATCAAAATTCACGTTTTTCATCATTTAACTGAAAACATTACTCTATATTAGTGCATCCACACAAAAACATATTACTATTAATCTAACTTTGATGCTGGTGTGAAGAAATAAGATTCTTAAGGAGAAAATAGGAAATTTATATCATCAATATAAAGAAAATAATTAGTGGATAGTGAAGACATGACGTCACAGACTCATGAGTGAGTTGCCAATTTGTCTAGTGTTTTTCAAAGTTTTAATGTCATTAAAAATTCATAACTTTCTTATTAGTTATCCGATTTTGCTCAGACTTTTTTTGATTGGTTAGTATGATTTTTCTGCTTCTATTGAAAGTAAGATATTTTTTAAATGGACTTGGGCTTTAATTTGAAGATGTTTTGTCTGCTGTCTAGTTGAGATAATGGAAATGTTGCAAGTTCTAGATCCCTATCTTAAATACTACCAGTATAGACCTGACTTACTTTCAAGTCTTTTTACCCTTTTTTTTTCTCATTATACTCAAGGGTAAGTAATTAATATGAAACTTCTATCTAATGTAAAATTGTCTAGTTTTATGGAGAAATGTAATATGTGTTTTGAAAGTTGATCTAGTGTGAAATGCCCTGGCAGAGTTTAACTTGATCTAGTGTGAAATGCCCTGGCAGAGTTTTAGGGGGAAAGGTGATGAGTAAGCCCAAGAAGAAACTTGTTTATGTTTCGCATGGTCCAGTGCATGCTGGAGAGGTATGTGTGTTAGTAGGATGGGATCTAGTTGGCTGCCCATTCTCTATTGGTGGTCCTGTTTGGAGTTCATCCTTGTAAGCTGAGCTGGGGCCTAGCTAGCTTCTACTGTATTCACTCACTCAGCTCACTCACTTTGCCTGCTGTCTCCAGTCTTGTGATCTACTGGCTGTGATTTCACAGACATACTACTTATATTCTACCTCCAGGATGCCTTTTGAGCTGTAGAAACACTTTCATACCTGTTGGAAGATATCTCACAATGTCTTAATTCTTGGGAAACAGATTTTTTTAACATCTTTGAAAGCATACAGTTTTGAATACATGGCCGGATCAGCAAATTTGTGTTTGGAGTAGCACTAGTTGTTGTGCTGAAAAAGTACAATTATTATCAGCTCAGCCATGTTTGAATTATAAGAAGGATGCCTGGGCATGCTTGAAGGAAGATTTCTTTGTTGATTGCATGCTTGTAATCTTTCTCATATAGGTCATACCTGCCAGTATGTATCCAGCTGTAATGTGTCATCTTCAGTAGTCTGGATATGATGATTGTGTTTATCAGTGAGGTTGTAATGATGTCATGGAATAAGAAGGCAAGATCAAGGTGAAGTACTCCATCTCTCTTTGCTCAAAAAGAAAGAAATACCTACCATAGGAGTCATTCATGTAATGGGTGATGGAGAGAGAGCATTCCTCAGAAGATTTTATGGCTCTGTTTATTTGAAAGTAGGAAAGCTGGATATTGTCACGACCAGATATCTTTAGACCAAACTGATCAACAAGAATGACAGTGAAAAACAGATGCTTGCTACCATAGTTACCAAACCTTAAAATGGAATATTATCTTGGATTATACTACAGTCAAGAGCTTGAAAATGATGTTGTTTTGAAAGCTGTACATTTGTGAATTTCATATAAAATTCTGGATGACAGAGTTCAACATTTGAGCAAGGTACAGTATATGTTCATGTATTTTAATGTGGTTTCAGTTTGGGTGGTCTGGTCTGGGAGGGCTGGGCATTGTGAATGTGATGCTGGTGCATTTTCTAAATCAGTAAAGTTCCGTTTGTGGTTTACTAATTTGCCACACTCCTTTCAAAATATAATATTCATGCCCCTGTCATTGAACTGAAGTAATTGGTTGGAGGCCTATCACAATTAAACTTGATTACTCAAGTTGTTACATTTAGGGTAGAAGAAGCAATCATAAATATCATATTTACAACACATTTATCAATGAAGAACACTTTTCACACTTAAAACTGGTATTTGAATACTTCAAAGAGTTGGTTGGAAACTTGAAATTACTTAACAAGTTAACATTCAGAAATAATGCATGATTCATTTAAATTACAATTTGCATATAGTAGGAAGGCATGATTTCATTACATGAGACTTTAGAATGATTGATTTATACTTTCATGTACATGTATGTACGTATATAACTATGTATGCATATGTATGTATGTATGTATGTATGTAAGAAAGAGATTTTGGTGGTTCATTTCTATTATGCTTTCAATGTCCTAGATACCCATTATCCAATGAACAATCATAATGAATTGACAGAGGAGGTAAATTAGACATATTTGAATGAGCAAAGATTTTCCCAGTTTATTTATAAATTATAAAAATATATAGTCCTGATAAATAACATTCTGCACAGAACTTTCAGAAGTCCCTATGTTCATGTACATGTATGTTCTCCTAATGAGATTTTTTTAAATGGAGATAGTTGGATTCCAATAATATTTACTATCAGTCTACCATATGGTGCTCTATGCAAGTACGGTATTAAAAAGAGAAGTAAAACAGTTTTTTGTTTTTGTTTATTTTTTTAACTTTAAGATCATTTTTGACACTGACTTAAATTTTTTTAGCCCCACAACAAATTCATTAGTTTGTGCACTGTTTAAAAATCTGAAAAACATGTCAGTTGTTCATGACATGAGGATCAACCAGTCCATATACATGAATAATGATGAATTTATACTTGGTTGAAGAAATAAATTGATATTCTTGATGGGTAAAATGGGTGTAATAGTTATCTTTTCAGTTTGATTACAATTCCTAGTCTCGATGTTGTCAAGAGGTATCTAAGCCAGGCTGCTATGTTATCAGAATACATTATTAAAAAGACCAAATCGAAACTAAACTAACTGTTTGCATACAAGTTTCCAGGTTGGAAAATGTTTTCCCATATGTTTTCAAGAAAAATTGATATTCAAACCACATTGAGTTGTTTGCAAAGGGCACTTCCATGCCTCCAAATGGAAAAGAAGTTCAGCACAAATTACGTACAGAATCTTTTTTTTTCCTTCACCAACTCAGAAGTTCACTGTCAAAGATTTGAATAGATACTCTGAGTTAATGTAGGAAGACTTCATTTATTATATCCAGCCCCAACCTCCTACAATAAAGCAAATGGAATTGATTACAACTTAAATTGATTTCACTATGCCAGTTTTAAGTCTGATACAATTTAAAATGTAGTTGCTACATCTTTCCTGAACTTTTTACCAAATTTCCTCAAGTTCCTGATCTTCCTGGTCAAGATGAAATGTCACACTGCAACTCATTAGTCCCACAAAATAGTAGGTTTAATGAAAAAACATCAACCCCTGGTTCATTTTCTTCTTCTTCTCCTTCGCTATAAGTGCAGGCCACCGTCGGGGGTATTCTCTTATTTAAATGATTGTGCAGGAGCCCTTTCACCTCAGCTTTTTTAGGTATGGACAAAAAAAAGGTATAAAAACTGAGCCTCGAGGAATCTATTTTCCTTCTGTTTGGAAAATTGAAAGAACTGTGAAGAACATTTTATTTTAATTAAAAAATAAAAATAAACCGATGAAAAGATGCTTGTAAGTCAAGCTGATGACTTGTATCTATGATGCCATCTATCTGTTAGGAAAGTAGCTTTGAGAAGTTTCATGGTGCAAACACTGCTTATGATTAAGCAAGTCAAGTCAGTCTATGAACCCAGTTTCCAAAGTGATACGTACGGTCTTGACATGAGCAGTGTGGCTCTAATATTACCCTAAGCATAAACGACAAATGACTACGGATTTGACTAATTTGTTTCGGATGAAGATGTGTGGGTTTTGAATACTGTTGGCCAAAGAAAACATTCTGCCCAAATGTTCCGGTGAGGTGGTAAGGAGAAACCACCCATGATGTACTTAAATATAAGTTGCAATATTCAGAAAGGAGAAAGTCTTGAATTTTGTTGAAGGAAAGTGGAGCTCTATTCAGATTGGTAGCCAGGGACACGTTCTGAAATGGATCCTCATAAACATAGCATTGTCAATTTACTTGGTGAGTTTTGTTTATTGACAAAAGCATCATTCTTTTTTTCTTTCTTAATAGACCCATAGTATATTTAGTCAAATTATTAGATTATTAATCAAGACCAATTGTTTCTTGATGCATCATCCTATTTCATTCAGTGTTTATTTCATTGTGATACCCGTTTTAACATAGGGTGTACATGTATGTGGGTGTAAATGGTTTTCAGAAATGATTTTTGCAGCATCAATTATTTCCTTTTGTGTACCTGCTACTAGTTGTCAGATGCATGTTAGAATTTGTGAAGAAGCAGAGTGTAACATGCTCTCATTTATGAAATAATTATATCTAATATTGGTTTTGATGGTGATGGTGCCTTGGGGTTTAATGGTGCTATTATTTCCAGTGAATAAAAATATTTAGTTTAGTGGTGCTCCTCTTAGATTTTGATTTAGAAAAAAAAAATTGTTTTAGGTGGTAAATTCATCATTTTCGAAATTAGTAGCTAATCCTTTTTTTTATTTAGCTAAACCTCTCTGAGCTGCAACATTTGTCATTAAAAAAACGTATTTCCAGCAGTATAAACAAGTGGCCTGAATATTTATATTTACAATAAACTTTTATGTTCTCTAGATAGGTAGACTTCATGATTTGATATGGAGGATCATTGGAGAAACTGGCAGAAACTGGTCACGATTCACTGCTTGTAAGGTGACTAGGGTAAAAGGTTACGACTCATTACCTTAGCAATGTAAAAGCCTTACAAGGTTCATTGAGTGCATTCAAACTGATGAAAGTAGCCATATTGGTGAGGTAACAATGGATGAGATGACCAGTGTTCAGTTCAGTTGGGTGGTAAACAAACGTTTCTCTCTATTGTGTTAATCCACTTTTCAGTGAATCTTCTGAATAACAAGATAGTTTGCCATTGTTAAGCGAGGGTGTTAGTGATGTAGCTACGCATCTATCATCATCCCTGTAGCTTCTTTGTATGGTGAATAACTCTTCAACACTTTCGTTTTTGGAGAGAAGGGATGATGCACAGAAAATGAATCTTGAATTCTCAGCATACATATCAGAAGAGGATGTTGAAAGTGTGAGAATAACTCAATGGCGAGAAGTATTTGGAGAATAAGTAAATAGGAAAAGCTGTTTTTGCAAGTTCTAGGTAATTATGATTAAATTAATTAATTGTTCGAGATACCAACAAATCAATGAGGTCCATGTCAGATAAGGAAGAAAACTTTAAGAAATCTATGGTGAATTGGTGATTGTAAATTTCTACCTACTGTTTTTCTAGGAAAATATCTTGTTATTCTAGTTGAATTCTGATGTTATATGAGTAGATTTTTCTAAGAATTTCTGTTTATTTAACTTGATTTATAGTTACCGGTAATTGTTCCAGATATGGACACAAGCAGGTTTAATTTTTTAAACTGAATCCACATGTCTATAAACCAATGGCAATGGTGTTTAATTGTTATGGGGAGAAGCTGTGAATAAAAGAAGATGAAATAAAACAAACATTGAAATCTGCAGATATTGATGAATGATGAGTAGTAATTACCATCAGTGATGTACAGTAGTTATGCAGAATTGCTTTGACCCGTTAACTAGTGGAAGTATGCTTGACTTTTGGGAAGGAAAAGAAAATCCTGAGATACTTTGAAATAGAAATGCCATTCAACTGAGAATTTGATATTTACTAGTTATATTTATCACTTTAATTAGTATACATTTGTGTCCCCCCCCCCCTTTCAACTTTTTTTGTTTGGTTATTAAAGCTTTTGATGTGTAAATTTTCATGTAGGGGGAGGGGGGAGGAAGAAATTATAGGTCATTTGAGTTTTTTAAATAAACCATATGCCAAAAGTGGTAGTTCAGATTTGAGTACTGTAGAATGATGTTGAAAATTCCTGCATAATAGACCACCCAGAAGTAGGCTGTGTGTGTGGTCCTTTCCAATTTCCTCAGTCCCATCTACTGATTTAGAGGTAAGTTAGAAGTAAGCAGGCAATCGTAATGTTGTTATAGGACAGTATGCTGACCACAGAATTATAAGTTAGATTATATAGAAAAGCAGAGTTAAGCCTCTTCAAATAATCATCAGTAGTGACTGACAACACTCAAGTCCAGATTTCAAAAGATAATATCCACAAGAGAAGTGTCAATTGTCATGCGATGATTGATAACCAAAGCAAATCAGACAAGCTCAAAAGAAGATAACCCACGTTTCATCTTTCTTTGTCTCAATACTTCTTTTTCTTTTCTATCTTTAATAGTTGATTTAGTTTTATCTTGTTTTTTATATTTGAGACTAAACATAATAATTTCAAAGCCTTGAAAAAGCATCCACAAGGTGTAATTTATTCTGACATTAAAGCAAATGAACGAGTTATATTCATTTTAGGCCTGTTACTTCACTCTAAACATTTATTTTTTGTTCACTTTTGATAATTGAAATTGATGCTTACCAGTTCAGACTTGAGAGACACCTTCATTCATCGATATTTAATGTTGGTTTTTTTACTTACATACATGTAGTAGTTTAATATATAGGGCCTAATGCGGCCTATCACATTGTGTAAAATAAAACTTAGCAAATTACATATTTGTTCTTGAGAATTCTTCTCAGTTTACTCCATGCTCCTTAGATATGGATGTTAT